ATGTGGGTTAAGGTTAGGTACCATTCAATGACAAAAAACACATACAAAATAAATAACACTTAGTAAAAAAGGGAAATGTGGGATAACCCCTAGTTTTGAAAATATATAGAAGGAGGCCTAATGTTTTTTTTCTGTTATAGTCAAAAGCCCAATTTCTGAACTTAATTTGTGAGACCCCCTGGATAACTTAAAATACCTGTTTTGCCCTTTTAGGGGTGGAACCCATTAAACCCTAGATCTAATCTGGAAACTGAAATGCTATTCATAGAACAACTTTTACCGGCTTGCAGTGCGACTTTATTTCATTTGTAACTTTTCTTAAGAAAATTCAAAATTCTCTCAAACCCTATCCAAGGTTCTTCGAGTTCTTGCGGATTAAACGAGCAATTCAACAACGATTTAAGGTAAAATTCGAACTCGAAATCATTGACCCAATGTTTTTATAGTAGTATATTAACAAATTTCGTCGAAAATCTATACGTTTTGAGTATTTTGATTATGTTCGAAAGTTTTCGGAAATAAACTTACATTTCGTGTAGAAACTCACGAAATTAAGGGGCTAATTTCGTGAGTTTTTACACGAAATAATCGTATTTGTTTGTTTTTCTTACGTTTCGTGTACGATTAGACGAAACACAAGCTTACATTTCGTGAGATTTCTCACGAAATGTAAACTTTTGTTTCGTGTAATCGTACACCAAACGTACGTGTCATGGCTGTTTCACTGTCATTTCGTGGACAAACACACGAAATTAGTGCTTGTATTTCGTGTGTTCTTACACGAAATGGAGGCACTAATTTCGTGTGTTTGTCCACGAAATGACAGTGAAATAGCACGGTTCATTTTTTTTTTAAGATTTATTTTATTTATTATTATTATTTAGACTGATGTTAATAGTGTTTTATTTAACAGATGGCAGGCAAAGGGAAATCAAGTGCAATTATGCGAGCAGTTCGTGAAGACGCTGAACATCAAGAGCGCGAGCGCGAGCGCGAGCGCATGACTATGTCTACACGACGTAGGCGAGAGGCTGAGAGAGCTGGTGAAGCCAGATCATCAGTTCCACATCCCGATGTTGGATCTTCTCGTGCTACGGAGGAGGAGGAAGAAGAGGAGGATGCTGTGGACCCCTTTCACGAGACTGAGGTTGTAGCTCGTGGAGGTCGTGGAGGTCGTGGAGGCCGAGGACGGGGACGTGGAGGTCGTGGTGGTCGACCTCATACTCGATTCAATCCGGATGTGCTAGATGGTCCGTTTCCCGGTGGCCCGCGGGATCCGTCTTTGATACCGAGTTTCAAGTCGCACGTAGCGGCATATATTTGGAGGGGAGAAGTAAGTTAATTACTTGTTTTAATTTTAATATTATATTTTTGTATCTTCTATTAAAATACTTTTATAGTTGATTAATTAATATGTTTTCTAAATAAATGATTGCAGGAACGTCCGGTTGGACGAGTGGAGGTATCAACTCCCTGAACCAATTCAACTACGAGAAGATAGCAGCTGTCCTAGAAGACGTAGATGTATCCGTAGACAAGCATTTTCTGGGGATGACCGGTTTGTATCCCCTAGCCCGATGTTGTTTACAGGGCCTAGATACTCCATTATTGTTTGCATTCGTGGAGCGGTGGCAGCCGGAGACGAACAACTTCCATATGCCGTGGGGAGAGATGACTATCACTCTCCACGATGTCCAGATGATTCTAGGTGCCAATGTGGAGGGACGGGTGGTCGCGCCTAGGTACGACGATGCCATCGAGCGGACAAACTGCGTGTATTTACTGTCCGAGATATTAAACCTCGAGTTTGATGAGATTGACGAGTCATGGAAGCGTGGGGGCCCCACATGGAGGATGATACAGGGACAGTTGTTGATGCCCGACACGCCCATGAGACGCCGAGTTCAGATATACCTGGTGTTTCTCCTCGGATCGATTTTATTCCCCGACAAGACATGTGATCGGGTGAAACCGTGGTATATGCACGTGCTCGAGGATTCAGTGCTTGATCAGGTCGGCACGTATTCGTGGGGTTCGGCCTGTTTGGCCAATCTATACAGAGAGTTGGGTATATGCAGCCGAGCACAGTCGAGGGGCTTGGTGGGTTGCACCACCCTTCTTCAGGTAAATTTTAATATATTTTGAACTTATTTTGTTCATTTTATATATTTTAATAAATTTTTATATCTTTAAATAAAATATTGCAGTGCTAGATATACGAGTATTTCCCGAGATTCCAGCCGCCGGAGGAGAGCGAGCGCTACCGCGAGTTTCAGCCTCGATGCAAGAGGTGGAACGCGTCGCCAAAAGCGGGCACGCTCGAGCATATTCGAGGTTTACTCGACAATATGACAGCGGATGATGTAAGTCTTTTATATTTATGTATTTATATTTTTTTAAATATGAATTTTTTGATTTATGTATTTATATTGTTTTCTGTTTAGGTCGAGTGGCTACCGTATGGTCGGGATATACACGAGAGTATCCCTCGTACGTTGTATCATGGCACGATCCAGTACATGTGGGTCGTAGAGCCGTATATGCCTGATCGTTGCGTCCGACAGTTCGGGTGGGTTCAGGATATACCGCGCGGCTTGATTCCGTCGATGGAGCCATGTTCAGGCGGTCCCAAAGGAGGTACATCGTACAAAGTCAACTACCCATTTCCGGGTGGGATGTGGGACATGGTCCAGGCTCATTCCATTCGTGCCCGCGCATACAAGACGGCACGACAACGGGGGGGGAAGTCGACGAGCATTACATGGAGTGGTACACCGATCGGACTCAGCCGAAGATCAACAACCCCGACGTAGGCCCGACTCCAGTGCATCGAGAGAATGTGAGGCCACCAGATCAGCCGGCTTATTACCAGGTAGTACGTGCCCTGTACCCGATCACCAGGAGCACTGGACAGGACTGGATGCAGCAGTTTGCCGATCTACGTGCCGATCTTGGAGATATTATGCAGCCCGCCGCCCGATATCTTGGCATCGACCGTGACAACGACAACGACGGCGACGATCATGAGGTGCAGCCGGCGAGAAGAGCGAGGCGGTAGTTTATCGGTTATTATTAGGACTATGCATTTTTATTATTGTTAGGAACTATTTAATTTAATAATTTATTTTTATTTTTAATTAGGAATTAATTATTTTACTAATTTTGTTTATTATTATTACGAACTATTTAATTTACTAGTTTGTTGTTTTGTATTTTAATTCACTAGTTTTATTATTTGAATTTAGAAACTACGTACAACCGAAGCAATTAAAGTACATATTTAAACAACCTTACAAACAATCTTACAAATTTAATACATTCCAAGAACATAGGTTAAACATATAAAATGCAAAACACAACGCTACAAATTTAAATATTCCAAAACATAAGTTTGAATGCAAAATTAAAACAAATATAAATTTAAACATAAGTTAAACTTTCAAATACCCGGCAGATGGTTATGATTACCATTACTCACACTCAATCGCCATAATCCATCCTCCGTTGATTTTTTGCCAATTAACCTGAACGGACAAGAACGTTTCTTCAATAGTACGTGTCGTCCAGATTGATATTTTGCACACGTTAAAACATGATGTTTTTCTGATTTACAATGATTAATCAGTCAATGATTATGACTAATTGCTCTGTCTTTTGCCCACATGATTAACGCTTCTCTACTATCACACACAATACCACGTTCAAAGAAGTGACTATGATCGTGAGATTGTTCTCTTAGTTCCTGCATAAATATTTAAAATTAAAAGACAATATTTAAGGGATTTTGTAGAAAAACATACGAAATGTAACCTACATTTCGTGTAAACACACACGAAATAATAGCTTCCATTTCGTAGGTTTTACCACGAAATGTAAGCTTCCATTTCGTCTGATTGTCTACGAAACAAACAACTAACGATTTTAAGACATATTTCATAGTATTACACGAAATGAAAGCATATATTTCGTGTGTTATAACACGAAATCTCTAAAAACGTTGGAAATGAACAAAAAACGTGTATTTTCACCTCAAAATCGAAGTCGTTGTCATCCATGTCGATAATACTTCTACTCTAATTGATATTGGTGAAAAATTACTCAAATTGAAAATTTTCAAGAATAAAAGATTGAGAGTGTTTGAGAGAAGATTTGGATAAGATTTGAAAAAGAAAAAAAAATGAATTATTTTGCACTGCGAGTGGTAAAAACCGCACTGATAATAGCAAGCCCCATCTGGAAATTAACCCTCCCTCTTCTCTCTTCTCAGAAACGGCCGCTCCTCTCTCTCTTCTTCCACCATCGCCTCTTCTCGCTTCTTAGAAACGGCGGCTCCTCTCTCTCTCTCTCTCTCTCTCTCTCTCTCTCTCTCTCTCTCCTTCCACCATTGCCTTCTTCTCCATTTCTCTCAATTCTCTCTCTCTCTCTCTCCTTCCACCATTGCCTTCTTCTCCATTTCTCTCAATTCTAGTTCCAATTTCTACTCCCGTTTGTTAAGAACGCACTGCTCCAAGTTCTTCAGCCACTTAAATCAAAGCCGAGGAGGAGGAAGATTCGCCGGGAACTGAAATCAATGTCCGTTACACAGTTGTCAGTGGCCTCGTCGCCTCCGGTATGTCCAGCGAGATTGCTCTCTCCTTGCTGCAAATCTGGGAAGCAAAGACCAAGAGAGGCGTCTTCTACTAGGTTTGGCTTTTTTTTTTTTTTCTTCTTCTTCTATATAATGGAATTTCCGTCCTATATTAGGCTCCTGAGATAATTTTTTATGTTATTTTCTAGTCTAGAAATGACGATTTGGTTGGTATTGGTAATTTTGATTTTTTTACTATGGCAATAATGACCTTGGGAGGTGATCTGAGTAGGAAATATGATTAGTAAACAAAGTTGACTAGCATTTGATAATTTTTTTAACAATTTTACATTAATTTTTTAACCATTTTCTATTAATTATATTTCAATTTTTTATTTTTATTTTTAAATGGTGAGAAAGATATTGGATTTGGTTTTGAGGTGAATTATGTATGGAATACAACAGAGAAGGAGTTCATGTAATATAGGGTATTTGGAACAAATTGCCCCATTCCTCCAAAATGGAATATATAGTATCATATAGTAATATGTAGTAATATATGCATGTGATTGTGTATTCTCGATCTGTATTTTATTGTTATGAGTTGATTTATAACGTAGATTTTTAAACTGAACTTAGCTTATTTACAGTTGTCTGCTGTATTCCTGTTTTTTTTAATAATGTATAATGAATGTTGCAACAACATTCGACAACGACAATCGAGGAAAGTAGAACAGAGCATAATTCATTATCTTAAACGTACTACTGGGAACTTTTTTAGTGGTGTGGATGAATTTTATTCATATAGATATATAGTCACATGTGATCGTATCCCTGTAGTCATATATAGTCACATGTAATAACAAGAATGAACATAACTACATCTGACTATAGTTGACTACATATAGTCATATCTAGTCATGTGCAGTAACAATACTGCACATAACTACTTTTGACTATAGTTCACCGAAGTAAATGTATCAATAAAGTGTTTTTCATTGTTTTTTTGTATTTTTCATGTAATGTAATTCGAATTTTGCAGGTATTTTTTGAGTTCACCAAAGTATTTTTTGTATAGCCATCATCGAATTTTGCAGTTATTTTTTGAGTTTTGGTTTTAATTTTTTTTTTTTTTCGTGTGAAGCTGTGAGTTTAATTTTAGGAGTCGACATGTACACAAAACGCGATTGTTGTGGCAAGAAATATAATAAAAATATACTCGAAACTTGTTCCTAGTGGTGGTGCGACAAAACTGACTGTCCATCCATTGAAGGCATAGAAAAGGCAATGAATTTTAATGTGCTTCTTAATATATTGGATCACTGTTTATTGGTCCTCAAATGATTTGTTTACTTTTTTTTTATACTTGGGAGTATATATGTAGATTCGTGATGAGAATATTTTGTTGGTAATATGATATTGATATTTTATTTATCGAGAATGAAATAGGTGACTACTTTACGTGTGTTTCAACTATTATTTTATCTATGGTGTTCCACTTCAACTTGCTTTGATCTTTGACCTTTGGTTATACGAAGAATAATGACTAGCATACTCTGTTTGTAATTTGATTTTGATAATATAAGCTGTCTCGTATCGCATGGAGAACAAAGTCAGGTACTTGAAGGGACAAATAAAGTCACATACATGTATATAGTCACATGTGGTCATATACATGTAGTCATATATAGTCATGTGTAGTAACATACAGTAATATATGGTGTAGTCACATATAGTAATATATAGTCACGTGTAGTAACATACAGTAATATATGGTGTAGTCACATGTAGTAATATATAGCTATATATAAACTATATAGTCATGTAGTCATATGTAGTCATGTATGAGTTATGTGGGGACTATCTATGTATACCACTTTTTTTTTTTCACAGGTCTTGGTGTTTGAACTACTATGTAGTAAGTTTTTTCACCGGTCTTGATGTTTGAACTACTATGTAGTAAGTTTTTGCGGAGTGGATTGTGTTCGTTGTTCAAAACAAGTGGTTATCGTGTTGACAAGTGCGATTTGAGTCAAATTTAGTCGTATAGATAACTGTAGTTATGTATAGTTCCATGTAGTTATATATATTTATATACAAGCCATGTGTTTTTCTGATCTTGATGATTGTGTTTTTTTTCACTTTTTTGTTAGGCATTAAATTATTTATAATATCAAGAATAAAATTTTGAATTTTTTTATTGGTATAGATGAATTTTTATATATATAATCAACGGTTTCTATAATCGATCGACCATAACTTTGGGGTAAAAAAACAGTACATGGCTACATATAAAAAAACTATACATGACTGTGGTATACTATAGTCATGTGTATCGATTTCAATACAGTAAATTAAAAATTAAAAAATAAAAATTAAATAATTAAAAATTAAAAACAATTAAAAAAATCAAAAAATTAAAAAAAAGTTAAAAAAACAAAATTAAAAATTAAAATTAAAAATGATAAAAAATTTAAAATTAAAAAAAATAAAAATATTAAAAAAATAAAAAAAAGGGTACGTAGAAAAAAATAATAATAAAATAAAAATTTATAATTTTTTATTAAAAAATTTGAAAAAATGATAAATGCAGGTCTAAAAGTGTTGAGTGCAGTTAGCCATAATGCTGAATGCAGGGGTGAAATACTGAATGCAGTTTGCTGAAAATTGCAATTAAGGGCACAATAGTACTGTTGCTTCTCCAGGGGTGTATCTCAAAGAAAGAATTTTAGGAGTGGACTTATCCCTATATATTTTCCAGTCTAGGTGTGTATATCAAATGACCCCTAAAATAATTATGTAAAGTAATATCTCTTTGGTAGAGAAGGGTTAGAAGTAAATACACTTAATCTCTAGGGAAGTAAAAGCAAAGGAGAGTAAAAAGAAATAGAAAAAAACAAATGTTGATTATGTTTATCTTCATCACTTCATATCCTTACTTATCTTCGGTTTAATGCCAAGTGTGTGTTGGATCTAAAAACGGAACCTATACATGTAACAAAAAAAATAATTTCAACTCGGGGATCTAAATTAAATTAACTTTTAACATTTCTTGCGAATGAAACTGAAGCCTTATATATAAGCAGACATCAAACATAGCAAATTCAAGTGAGAAATCGAGAAAGGTGTTTCAGAATTGATCCCACCTTCAAAACCGCAGCTCGAAATAAATCTGGACAATAATTGATAGCTGAAGCAACTAAAAATCCTCCAGCACTATATCCACAGCCAGCCAATTTAGTTTCTTGCACAACCTCTCTTTCGATAAGAAACTTAGCACAAGATATGTAATCTTTCACAGAGTTAAGTTTCTTCGTTCTCCTTCCATCATGATGCCATTTTCTACCGCCACCACCTCCACCCCTGGAAATTAATGAGTCAGTAATCAAAAGAATTAGTAGTTCAGGGTATTTTTTCGAAGCCAAAAAAAAATCTGACTGAAAAAAAAAAACGGAGAAAAAAACAGATGAACGACAACCTGACATCAGCATAAGCAATCACCCAACCACGATCAAGAAGGCTTTTCATCTCATTTCGCCACCTTTTGTCGAGTACTTCACCATAAGCACCATGCCCATGCAGTAAGCCAGGATTTTCACCATTTGTTTTCCTGTGTCGGGAATATAGTATGGTGAGAGGAATCAGAGCCCCATCATACGAAGGGACCTCATATTCTTCACAGGCATAGTATTCAGAGAGATCATTCCATGTGCTTTCGTCTGCAGCACTGTTTTCAGAAAGGTTATTGGGTATCCGACTATTGCTTGTCGAAGATGCCGATCCATACAAAACCCGTGTTCTTTCATAGAGCAGATTTTGCTGTTGGACAATAGTCCATTGTCCACTCAGTAAATCATAGTCAACTACTGCGTCAGGCATCTGTAATATAAGAGGAAAATGTATTCTAGTGATGTCTTAAATAAAAAGTCCCATACTTGGACACCGCATCATATCCTTCTTGCTAATGGAAATATGTTATAACCGATGCTATGCAACTAAACAACTATCCAGTATGCAATAATCATAATTCACCACAACTCACAACCCTACTCAAGCATATGATGAATCTCGCCAGACCACCTAATTCTAGGAAGAATTGACAAAAGCAAGAATCTTTACATACCACAGGTGATGTTATTGTAAAGCGCATGGTTGAAGAATTGAAGTCATAATTTGGTCCTGGAAATATTTGGGATACATGATCTGGAAGAGGCAATTTCTGCAGATTGAAATCTTTAAGATGAGCTCCTACCTGCCAAAACCATTGTTCAGAAAACATTGGAGACACTGTATAGTCATAACATAAACGGAAAACTATAATTGGAAGTAGAAGGAAATGGACCGGGAATTAATTTGGTATGTATCTAAATGGTCAGAAGGCTGCATTACCTTGTCATTGCTTAGAGGCAAAGAAACAGAGTACAGCCCATATTTTCGTCTGTCCTTTACAATAAGTAGCAAATGTGAGTGACAGAAGTCAACATCTTCAATGGTCAACAGTTGGTCATTGGCAAAAACATTCTGCAGAAGATAAGATAAGAAGCAGAAGAAGAGTATGGATCAACTAAGAAATCTACATATGTCCAGAATGTATCGGATCATGCATAGGTATCTAATAATTACACAAGTGTGCTAACCTCCCAATTCCTTGGGATACAAGAAGAAGTAACAGGACTACGTAAAAGGTAATGGTGATCAATAGGTTGACCCTGCATAGCGGCATCCGTAAATAGGTAGAGGTATCCTTGATGATGCTCAACAATGCAATGTGCGTTCGGCTCACATTGCCAGACAAGAGTCAGTCCGGATAATGGATCGGCTGCATTTATTAGATAGACCTAATAGTGGGTCACTAACGAAATTCCCAGTTCAAAAATCGAGTAATTAATGGGGGGAAACATTCTTGTGAGCATACCTTCGATGATTGAGTTGAAAATATGTTTACGGTCAAATACTGGAAGTCTTTAGTATGTCTTACACTCAGATGAACATTTTCTTGAGGTTCCTCCAAAATCAATACATCCTCGTCATTTGAACCAATCATGCTACAATAGATCCTGGGAAGAAACAAATCTCAAATTTATTTGTAGGTCCAATAGAATCAGATACAGATATTGTGAAGGACAAAATTAGCCATACCAACCTAAAGGGTCTCTTTTTATTATCCGTGACTACGTAAAGTAGTGCCTGCCCATCTTTAGCCCAAGCTATATTGGATACCCGGTCGGCTTGGGGCTTACTACAAAGGGACCCAAAATTCAAGTCTCGAACAGATAATTTGAAGTAATCATTATCCTTGTCGTACATAGTGTACGCAAGATATCCGTGATCAGGTGAAACTTCTGATAGTTCTTCATAAGCGTAACCTGTTTACGAAAAAAATAAAAATAAATGTAAATTCAGCTGCGACATCCAGTTGTACTCGTCTTCCCAGGGAGAAATTCACCGGCTTCTTCGGCGGCGACGGCGGGGCGGGAGTTGGCTGGGGCCTTGTTGAATGATGAAGCGGTGCCGGCGGACGACGGTGAGCAGGTGGCGCATAGCAATTAGTGTTCGGAAAGCAGATTTAGGGCAACCGTAATTGAATAAACAGCAAGAATTTACATTTGGCCTTCTGCAAATGTCCATTGAGGGTTTAATTACAACGAACATGTTACTGCAGTTTACACACAAAATCAGATTCAGAGATAATATGAAACGATGTCGTTTTATTATTAAATTCCAAATATGAGTAAATAATTAAAATAATGAAATAAATATGATAAAAAATAATGAAAATCCACAATTAATTTCATTTCTCAATTCTCCTCTCCAAACCTCTCTTCCGATTCGATTCTCTGTAGATAAACAAACCCCCGCCATTAAAATGGCTATGAAGAAGAAAAACCGGCCTTCATTCTTCGCGGTTTTGGTCCAGGACTACATCAACAAGCTCGTAACTCATTCTATTTTTTCACACACCCACCACCAAATTATATTAATTTTGTCAAAAACAAAAAAAAAAAAAAAAAAACTTTTTTCGCAAGTTCCGCCTGCTTTTGTGCGAAAATGTGGCCTGAAAATGCAAAGTTGAGAACCAGCTGTGGAGAAATTTGGGATGTGAAAATCGAGGAATTCAACGAGTACAAATACTTCACTGTGGGCTGGCGTAAGTTTGTCATAGATGCAGAACTCAGGAGAGATGAATTTTTGGTGTTCTGGTTTAATATTAATTCTTCCATATTTGATGTTTCGATTTTTGGAATTGGGGGTTTGGAGAGGGGCATTTCTGTCCAGAATAATATCTCCATTACAGAGGATGAACTGGATGATGATGATGATGATGATGCCCTAGCTCCAGGTATTTATATATTTAATTTAAACATTTTATTTTGATAAAGAAATGTCTTTTTATTCAAAGGTTTTAGATAAATTTTATGTAATTCTTCTGAAACAAAAAAAAAGTACTGCATTATATTTATCATAATTGTTAACTGTTGTTAATTGAAACTAATTAAGCTTTTAAGTTTTAAAATTTGCATCATATTAATATTAATTCGTTGCTTACCTTATTATGCTCGATCATGTGCGGGAAACGAAGCTGGAAACGGTCCGCGGTTCGATTTGCTTCTCAAGAAACATCACACTTCAAGGCTGGTCATTAAATTTTTGAACGAAGCCGATCGATGATCTCGTTAGCTATTTTACGTTATTATTATTAGTTTAATTATTCGTACATTATTAATCGCTTAATTTTCTTTGAATTTGTTGAACTCTAGCAACTTCGAAAATATTTTGTTGTGGCAGCTGGCTTACTGGGGAAAAACGCCGTGATTCTGGAATATCCTCCGGACAAGCGTCGTTGGACGGTTACACTGCACCGCTACACGAATGTTAAAAAGTTTAGGATCGACATGTCGAGGGGGTGGGGTAGATTCAGACGAGCAAATGGTCTCGTCTGCGGGAAAACTTACTCGTTTCAGTACATTAAGGATAGGAATGTCGTCGAGGTTAAGCCATTCCGTTAAGTATGAATTATTTACATTAATTTCGTGTTTTTTTTTTTCTGTATTTTGTATTTTCTTTTAAATAAATAAATATTACTAGACGAATACACGAGTGCAGCATAGAATAAACTTCACCATCTTCTTTCATTAAAAACTATATATGCTCCACATTTCTTACCTTGAAGAGAAGATTTTTTACTATGTAATATTCTTGATGGCATTAATTACCAATAATTAAAAAATTAAGGTAAATTCCCATATTAATTAATTTTTAGACAAATAAAATCCCAAACCTACATTGTTTTCCTAAAGAAAAAGATCCCATGTAAAAGTGTTGTAATATCTTTATCTACACAAATAATATTGTAGGAAAATTCAAAGCCACATTCGAAGAGATGTTTATGTATTAAACTGCAGATAATATAAATATATATCAAATAAATAAAATTTAAATACTTTCTATCTCCTTCCATCTCTTCCCCTTCACTGCTCAATCTTTAACATTACACACGCAGTGAAGAACAGTAAGAATTATTATCTTTTGGATATTATTAATTTATTTTTATTTTATTTTTTTGGTCAGAAAGAAATAAAGAAGAATCTTATACTTACATGCAGTCATGAATGAATGATGTTTGATACAAGTTGATGATTATTATTTATCTGCAATTTTATTTAATCCTCCATTTTTAGCATCTTTTGATTTATTTATTTAATCCCATAAGAATTATTATATTTTTGGATATTATTATTAATTTTTTTTTTCAGATGAAACGAAGCTCGTGTATCGTGTTGCGTCCGGTTTGTTTTCTCATGGTGCTGGTATGTGTTTAATTCAATTTTTTTTTTTTTTTAAAGAAAGTGCAAATGTTTAACTTTAATCAGTTAAAAAATTTATATGAATTGCTAATTTTGCTTGCTGCAGGTACTTATGGTGCTTTCTCTATCTGGTTTACTGATCCCATTATGGATCATTAGAGTTACTAAAATCGAGAACGAAGTAAAAGTTACCGCCAAAAAAACGAATCAGGAATTAATTTCCGGTATTCGAAAAACCGCCACGTTGTTTTCTCCTATTAATGCATCAGCCATCAACTTAGTTCGAGTATTAACCTCGTCTCTCGAGGAGCACGATTTCCAATTTTCCAAAATTGAGTCGAAGGTAAGTAATTAAGTGGCGCGAATTTGGCTTCGAGAACTTATTTAATTTTTCGGGATCTATTTTTTTATTGATCATTTAATGCAGGTTGCTTCGACGCTGTTTCAAGCGTTATCCACAGTACCGTATCTATCGCAGATTTCTTACATTGGATTAGACGGCCTATTCTTCGCTTACTATACTCAAGAAAATCAAATTTACGCAATGTACTCAAATTCGACATTTTCCGATGCGAAGAACTACTCTTGGTACATCCAATCGGTGAATCGTGACAGTGGAAAACTATACGGTGAAGCAATTAAGTCACCTCCGTTTGATGTAGTAAACTCGACCTATTTTCAAGAAGCGTCGAGTAATAAAAACGGATACGCCTCGGTCGGTACTTCATGGGGAGATACTCAGAATATTCTTCTGCTTAGTACCGTAAGTATATACGGAAAAGGGGTCGTTTCTTTAGGATATCCAATGCAATCACTAATCGATTTCTTGATTAATGAGATAAGATTTTACGATGGGAGCTTTTATTTGGCTTCTAAAAGGGATGGGAGTGTTCTAGCTCAAGGGATTCCAAACACTCGTATGATCTTAGCTGGCGATCGAGTGGCGTTTCAGTTATTAAGCGAAGATGATTATGGAGTTAGTGAAGTTGGAAATCTCACGTGCCAATCAAATGATGACAGCACATCAAGAAACTATGTAGTGAGCTTTTCGGGTAAAGAGTATGTGATTAATTGTTCACCACTCGACATCGCCGGACTCCCTTTGGTAAGTTTCGTTTCATTTCGAACGAAAAAAAAAAAAAAGATTCTTGATTTATTTTTTCATAATTTTTTTTTTCCGATTTTTTTTTAAGGTATATGCATTGGCTATGCCACACGAGGGACTTTCGAGCTTAGTACACAAGAACATAAAATTGGCATTCGTTATGTTAATGCTAATGATTGGCGTTGTGGTTATTACGATATTAACGTTCGTGTATCTAATTGTCGAAGCTGCGAGAAGAGAGATGCATCTATGTGGGGCCCTCATAAGTCAAATGGAAGCAACTCAACAATCGGAGCGAAAGAGCATGAACAAGAGCTTAGCTTTCGCAAGTGCAAGCCATGATATACGTGCTTCTTTAGCAGGGATAAACGGTCTGATAGAAATATGCCGGAACGAGGTTTCGAAGCGCGACCCACTGAGATCGGAAATACCCGCGAATCTACTGCAAATGGAATCTTGCACTAGGGATCTTTTGGGAATCTTGAACTCGATTCTCGATACGAGTAAGATAGAGGCTGGAAAAATGCAGCTTGATGAGGAAGAGTTCGACTTGGAGAAACTGATGGAAGATGTGGTTGATTTGTACCACCCTGTGGGTACGAAGAAGGGCGTAGACGTAATTTTGGACCCGTTTGACGGCTCGGTCACGAAATCTTCTCGTGTGAGAGGTGATAGAGGGAAGCTGAAACAGATTTTGAGCAACTTGTTGAGCAATGCTGTGAAGTTTACGTCGAACGGGCATGTGGTGGTTCGAGTTTGGGCTAAAAAACCGAGTCTTGAGAGCGGGATTATTTCTTCGAACCGAAGCAACTCGATGAGCTGTCTTTTGTGCTTGTTCAAGATCCAAAGAGCGTATAGTGAATCGGAAGCTACTCAAAGGGAAACAAATAACCGCACGGAGTTTGTTTTTGAGGTGAACGATACGGGAAAAGGGATTCCGAAAGAGAAGAAAAAATCGGTTTTTGAAAACTACGTACAAGTCAAAGAAACTGCACTCGGTCAAGAAGGCACCGGTTTGGGGCTAGGCATCGTTCAATCTCTGGTAAAACAAACTGTAATAACTGTTTTTTTTTTTTGTCTTTTTTGCTTTTTCTTCATTGATGATGGTGATGTGTAGGTTCGTTTAATGGGCGGGGAGATAGGAATAGTGGATAAAGAAGCGGGCGAGAGAGGGACTTGCTTCCGGTTCAACGCATTTTTCGAGACGGATAGTAATTCTTCTCCAAGTGCTGATATCGAGTCTATTGGTCATGACTCGTTTCGCCACTCGGGTACTAGTTTACGTACCCACAGCCCGAAAAATGACGGCTCACAAGTCCTGCTCTTGATTGATAGTCCCGAAAGAAGCACTCTCTTGCAAGATTTCATGCACAGAATCGGGATTAAAGTACACGTTGTGAAGCAGTACGAACAACTCTCTCCGTCTCTGAAGAGGATCAAGCGGAAGCTGAATTTATCCAACTACAGCTCTTCGGGAAAATCCACTACTTCTAGTGCACGTTCGGAAAAGGAGTTCCCCTTGAGTGCTCTAGAAGGAACGGACGACGTTTTACCTAATCCTCGGCCCGGGTTTTCGGGCTTTGTTTTGATTGTGATCGACACGAGTGTGGGCCCGTTTAGGGAGATAAGTAGGGCTGTGGCTGAATTTAGAAGGGACTTGAGTGAAAACTGTTGCAGTAGAGTTGTTTGGCTTGATAGTTTACAAGGGCTTGATGAGGATAATCTGCCACCGTTGGATTTAGTCATTTCGAAGCCGTTTCACGGGTCCCGCTTATATCGGACTATTGGGCTTTTACCTGAATTTGGGGGGCTGCCGCCCCCAAGAAGGGGAGAAGCTTCACACAGTGTTGAAAACGTTCGACGCGGAAATGATGTTGCTAGTTCGGATGGGGGGGCAAGTAAGAGTTCTGTGAAGGGATCAAAGTGTGAGATTGAGGAAGTTGGAGGAGCAAACAGCAAAAAGAAGCCGTTAATGGGGAGGAAAATACTCGTGGCGGACGATGATCCGATCGGTCGAAAGATTGCTACTTTTGTGGGTGTGCAGCTTGGTGCAAGTATATTTCCATGTGAAAACGGAGAAGAAGCTTGGAAACTAGTCTGCAAGAGTCTAGACGAAGGGAAGCATGTTGGAGCTTCGAAGAGTTCACTCCCTTTCGATTGTATACTAATGGACTGTGAGGTAAAATCAAACGATCCGATCTTTTTTTTTTTCAATATTACTTTCTTCAACAGTTTATTGTATATTTCGATGTGTGTATTATTTGGCAGATGCCGATGATGAATGGAGTCGAAGCAACAGCAAAAATCAGAAAAGCAGAGGAAAGTTACGGTGTTCGTATACCAATCATCGCACTAACTGCACACAAGAAGGGGCAAGAGATCGATAATATGATTCAGGCTGGAGTCGATGGTTACTTAACCAAACCACTCAACAAGGATGTTTTCTTGAAAACTATTTCTGAAATTATTTGCAATGTATGACATTTTGTAAACATGTTTTCTTTTGTACTCGTATCCAATAGAAGCTTTTTTTTTTTTTTTTTTTTTTTTTTTTTTTTTTTTTTTTTTTATAACATGACATGAGAAAATCTTCATAAATATTGGTTTATATAAAAGGAAACAAGCTCTGCTCAAAATCCGTACCAGTAAGTATACAACTGGGGCTTTTAGCCGAGCCTAACGCGTTCATTAAAAACATCTAAACAAATCATTTTGTCTTAAGGTTGTCACATTTGACATTCTAACAGTGATAATGTTAAACTTGTTATTAAGCATCGATGAAACGGATGTCGAACGTATTTGGATGGATCTGCCACACGTTTAAGGCTGCGTATTCCTCCAAGCACTCTTTCAGCTGGGCTTCACTGTATCCCTGTTGACAGAAATTAAAGCAATACATCAATCACCGTATTATTAGCAAACTCGAACAACTTTTTCAAAGTTGATTTAAATATAATTTATTCGTCGTTTTGTACCTTTCTTGAAATCCAGTTCAGGGCATGGGCATAGCTGACATCCACCTTGTTGGATCTTGCAGCTTCGTCGCGTAGGATAGAATAAATATCAGAAATTGCGTCGAGACCAGACTTGTGACGGTCGTCAGAGTACAGTGAGAACTTGGACATTTGCATTAACCTAAGTGACTCGTCCACGTCACTCTGAGCAACTTGGTGGGAGAATCTGAGTCTCGCCAAAGCCTGAAAAAGATTAATATCGATTAGTAATCAATTGCTTCTCTGTCAAAGAAGAATAATAGTCAATAGGATATTAATTAATATAAGCACTTACAGCAGATATCCTAAGAATGCTAAGTAGAGTTCTGACAGTTGTGTAAGAGTGAGGGGCATTTGATTTCGCCTCTTCCTGTCGTATACTAGAATAAGCACTTGCTATATATACCTCCAACTCCCTTGGAACAACTGGAGACAGTTTTCTTGCAGCAGAAATATACGCCCTAGAATTCATGACAACAGTTTATCAGATCATGCAAAATCATTCACCAAGTTATTCAGAAAGTAAAATCTTTGAGGTAAGATTTTACCTAAGAACAGAAGGTTCGAGTGGAGTAAACCCGAGGTCTGGAGATTCCTTCATCTGGTGGACATGGAGAACGTGGCGAGCCATTTCAAGATCAGTATCCATATCTGCTCGGTCGAGAATCAGCCACAGGAGATCAAACCTTGAGAGAAGAGCAGGTGGCAGATTAATATTCTCAGCCGGTGTTCTCCTTAGATCATATCTCCCCCTTGATTTATAAAATAAAAGTAAAAAAATGAATATTAGAAGTCATCAAACTTAGCATTAGGAAGAACTGAACAGGTAAATAGCGATAAAGTGAATGTCTTTGTATTTCAAAACGAAAACCGAGAGTTTGTGAATTTTGTACCAGGCTGGATTAGCGGCAGCAAGTATAGCAGTCCGTGCATTCAAAGAAGTGGTGATGCCAGTTTTAGCAATGCTAACAGTTTGCTGCTCCATTACTTCATGTATTGACGTGCGATCTGATTCGTCCATTTTGTAAACTCGTCGATTGCACAGATGCCCATATCCGCCAGTACCTGACACAACCGATTGGACAGTGATGCTTGTAGATTCACCTTTAATGAAAGAAAGGTAAAAATTGGATGGGACTCGTGCAAGCACTCTTACCAGAGCCCCTCCTTCCAAGACCATCTCGTTTGTCACTGGATCCTTTTGAACAGCTGCAGTCAGACCAACTCCACTACTTCCTTTCCCAGTCGTATACACACCTCGTGGTGCAACGTTGATTATATGTTTGAAGAAGTTGACTTTTGCAAGCTCCTGGATCACCCATCAGAGGGGGCGTGTAGGTCTCCTCTAATCTACATGATGATACAAGGGTAGTTATTACCTTAAACATGGTACAAACGCGTAGACTTTCATAAAAAAAAAATGGATCCTCTACTTGTTCGCCCCACCCCCGCTTATATATTATCCTAGCCATAGAACTCACCTTCATTCCATCCTTTAACTTTCGGTGAGGAGCACCAACTAGTAGGAGGAGAAGGGCCTTCTTAACATCTTCATGCCCAAAAATTTCTGGGGCCAATGAGCGTGACAATTTGTTGTAGATATCACCATCCTCGGCTAAGCGAGCAATTTGCTCTTCCTCGTCATCTCTAAGTTCATATCTGCGCTTAATATAACCAATTAGGTCCACTGCAAATCTATTC